TGGTGTAGATCATTCCTCAGCCCAGTGAGCGCTAGGATGACATCCTCCTCAATCTCCTTGGCCTTGTTTGATTCTAGAATGGCGCCCTTGTGATAAGCACGCAGTATTTGCAGTGCATCGTCGATACCACCCGAGTTGAGGAAACCAGGAGGGCTGGAGATGTTGTTGGCGACATTGGCCAGCTTCACCAAGGACTTAGACTTGTGCTCGTAGTGCGTCTGGATTTCGCGAAAGTATGCGATAAGATCCTTGAGAATCTTGCGCCAAGCTACAAAATGATGTTAGTCTTTGGCGTACACATAGCTCGTCAGCACCAGAGAAGGCTTACACTGGAATCGGTTGGCTAGGGCCTCGGTTGGGTTCCCAGATGTTGGAACTGGGCAATGGAAAGCGCTGTGCACCTCGTCTGCGTCGTTGGAAGACTGCAGAGCCAGGCTCCGAACGCTACCAGCCTTCATGCTCCGACGACTACCGCTGCGCTTCAGACTGCCATTTCTGCGCAGCGAGCTCTTCTTCTTGAGGGTATTGTGGCGTGAGGGGAGGCTCAGGTGGTCGTCCCCATTGTTGGAGACGAACGAGTTGGACCGCGGCATGTTGGAACCGTCAATGATACTGCTTCCTCTTTGACTTGCATCCCATTCCTCTGTAAACTTGCCCTGAGTGGTGGCGGAGGGCACGGCTAGCTTGTTGTCGTAGTTTGAAGCAGCAGTCGGGGGACCGTAGTATGCACCGTCACTTCCTTGTGAGAGGTGTGGTGTTTGATGGCTAACGGATTGCGCGTTGGCAAGAGTATTGTAATGGGTTTCTTGGTCCCCGTCGTATGGCAGAGGAGCAGTGTTCTGAGGAGTAGGATATGTAGATGGGTCGGAAGCGGGAGAGTTGTAGGACGTGGAGGAGGAGAGCTGAGGTGGTTGTTGAGGGAAATAGGACGAGGTGCGATTTGAGTTCCTGTCGGCCGCAATGCCGTAGGCAGCTCTGTCCATATCTTGTGTAGCTGGTTCCCTGTAGGAATCGGGATCAGCGATGTGCGGCGCGTGGTTGGAGTATGCCTTTGGCGTGGGTGTAGATGGAGGCGGGGATCTGGCTGCCATTGTTGGCATTCTTAGGACGAATACACGGTCGGATTTCTGTCACTCTGTGTGGTAAGGTAAGGTAGGGAGACTGAGACAGGCCGGGAAGCCGGTGTTAATCTGAACGACAACTACGACTCAGACTAGCGCAAGGTATCAGCAGTGATGCCGGCGTCGGAAGGTGTCGCTGGTGAGCTTTTAGACGGGTTTAGACAGCCTTAGCGCGACGAAGGAGGGGGAACGGACGGGTCGATAATGGGAAAGGTGGTTAGTGTATCCAGTTGCGGTGTGCTTGACGCAATAGCAGTAGGAGAGGGTAGTCTTGGGCTCAGACCAATGTCGTCATCAAGTGCGTTCGAGTCGTGGTGGCGGCTGCCGATTTGGGTCGGTGGAATGCTGATGTGTCTCGGAGGTTGTTGGTTGCGCACCTTGGTGATTTGCGCGACTGCTAGTTGCTTCAAGGTGGTGATGACGGGAGCGTGCCGGACGTTGCAGGCTTGAGATTGGCACGTAGGTGAAGAATAGAGGGGGGAAAGAAGGGGGAAAAGGAGAGGAAGAGGGAGAGAAATGGAGAGAGAGAGAGACAGGTGCTACGATAGGTGTTTGTGAGAACAAGATGGGGTTGTTGGTGTTGCGCAGGATTGCTATCAATACCAATAAGTCGTAAGCAAGGTTGAGGTAAGCACAAGTACCTATACGGTGAGGTACCTAGGAATGGTAAGGTAGGCAAGGTAAGGAAGGAACCTTTTGACAGGACGGGAACGAGGATCGAGGGTGAAGCGTCACGCGTGATTGTAAAGGAGTGGCAGACAGCCCGAAAGTCAGGTAATTAGGTTCCCTGAGCCGGGGATGTTTGCACGCCAGCTTCCCACTTTGACCCGGGGTATCGCAGTCTCTGGGCACCGCGTCGACGGATACAGACATTGCAGGACAGGGGGGAGGGCAGACGAACGGGGTGCCCACTGGCCACTGCCATGTGCGTTTCCATTTCCAACTTGTTGCCTTTTCTCTTTCCATCTTTTTTACTCCGTACCTGTCCTAATCGTTATCTAAATGAAATGTCTTACTGGAGTCTGATTGCAATGCAGTAGCATCCCATGTCATGGACAAACGTGCACCGTCGTCCTGTCTCTGGACCGTTGCGCCTTCGACTCCCTCGTACCTCAGCTTAAGGTAGGTTTGCGCTGAATCTGATGTTTCTGACGATCACTGTGCTATGCTGTGCTGTGTAATGTGCGCGCGGGTGCCGCTGCAAGAACGAACCTGGGCAAGCCGCAGCGCAACACGGACTGACGAACAAGGAGCTGCGCCTGCGGTCTGAAGTGAGGTGCAGGGTGCCCTCGTCGACCTAGCGCAGCTGGACCCTGAATTGCGCGTCTACTTTGGGGGATTGGGATCGTCCACCCTAAGGCACCTTGGGTAAGTGGTAAAGTACTTTGCTTATTACCTAGCACGCCTAGGTAGGTAGGTACCTTGAGACAATGGATTGAACCTGTATGAACTTACAGTGGCCAGCCTCCAGCTATCCAGGTGAGTGAACCGTCACGAAACACCAAGGGGCATCTCATAAACTGTGTCACCAATTATTCCAACACATCACGGTATTTCTCATCTGGTCCCTCATGCAATACGTATCTCATCAAGACAAATATGTTCACACGGCCATGGAGGAGTAAAAGACACTCAAGGTGGCACATGGGCTGAGAAGGGTTTCTTCCTCTTACACTTGACTTGGTCATAAATCTCACTTGGTGGTATTGCCTCATTTCCTCTTAGACTCCCGTCGTCGCAAAGACCAGAAAAAAAAGAAGACGAAGGCCAAGAAAAGCTTCCAGCGCTGCGCGTCAGGCCCCGTCGATGACGTAGACGCCCCTCTTCAACACCACCAAACGGGTGACATTCGCTGCAACCTAACCATCAAACACCTGGGGACCCGTTTCCCTTCCAAATTCCACCTCACTAAGCTACCTAAGGTAATTACTGTGTCACTGTCCATCCGTATGAACTCTCCTACGGCACCTTACCTACCTTACTTTAGTACGGATAGGCATTCCCGATTCCCAGTTCTCCCTCTGGCCTCTGCATCTTCGTAGCTCGACGGATATCCACCAACCCGTTACTAGTCGCCCGCGTCAAATCATCTTCACCATGGAACATGCTGTCACCAACATCACACACCTCAACCAAAGCAGCAGCACGATCCTACCATCTCGCAAGGACGTGACGCATCCGTCCCACCCGGCCGGGCCGTTCAGTATGTATTCCAATCCAGAGAAACGCCACATCAACCATTCACGTGCCATTGAACCAACAACACCCTGAACCTCTCCAGCTGAACCTGAAGTTCACGGCCCAATCAACGCCCAGCCGCAGCACACACAACCCACCTGAGCTTAATCGAGGTCATGATCGTCTCACACCCACCCTCAGCCAAGTGTTGTTTTCAAGAAGAAAAAAAAAGGCTGCCGATTGCCAAGCACCCCAACTTCCTTCCTCATCAATCAACCATCCTTTTTCCTGTTTTGTTTCCCCGTGTTTATCGCATTCTGGCTGCAAACAATCCCCCGAGCCCCCCGGGGCCGAGTTCCATCGGCATGCCCGGGCAGTGCCTCCAAGTTTGAGCTGAGTGCTGACAGGAGTGTGGCTGCGTGGGGGGGGAGAGCTTGCCCATCGGACATTCACGAAACCCCTCCATCCGCTGTGATTCAACAACGGTCGACAGTGGTGAGTGCAGCCGTTTCTTCAGACGTACGAAATTTTGATGTACTGGAGCGACACCTCGAACAACACACATCAGCACTATTGCCACGCGATTACTTAGTGGATTGGAGGTCTGGGTGGTGTATGTAGTCTGTATAGCCTGGTCTTTTGACGCAGCCAGGCAACACACCTCACCAACTCACTGAGATCAAATTCTGCCCTTTGACCACCCACAATATAGTCAACTTTACTCCCTTTCACCACCACATACGACCATACCCATTGGAAAACTCGGGATCCCGTCCGCTCTCCCATAGATAAGCCAATGAGGGCCGGATTAGTAGTTGGGTCGGTGACGACCAGCGAATACCTGGTGTTGTATGTCTTTTGACGTTTTGCTCCAGACATTGTGAGATTGCGCGGTAATCTAAGACCGCGAATCTGCGGTTGCTGCATACTGACCATCCATAACATTTTGGGGGAACATTTTGCAGGGTAATGGAAATGTGATTCCTTTTTTACGATTTTCTGTTATCTTTGATTGGATTGGTCTCAACTCCGCGCCATATTGCCTGCAAAGTACACACGATCCTCCTCGATTTAGGTAGATAGGATATTCATCTGCAGACTTCTTCCGTGTATGCGGAACATCCAAGCACGGAAACCTGACCTCGGATGAACCCTAAGTGATGTTTACCCGTTGTTGTCCATGATGCCGAGTCTGTGCCTCTAGGTTTACGAGTAAAGTTGAAGTTGGGAAGTAGCGAACATATAGTGTTCATCTCATGTTGCTTCGAGATGAAGTGAATCTATCTTAACTCCGATCTCACCCTTCGATACTTCCTAGTGACGTCCGACCAAGTCTTCAGATCCAGCACAGATGTTGATGGTGAACAACACATTCATTAACGCAAAAACGCACACACACATGCGTGAATCTCGATCTTCATCTCATCCACTCAAAATGCGTAAATTTTGCAGCTGCTAGGTGGCGGTAATACCGTCTTTGGACTGAGTGTAGCAGTCCTCGGGATCCCAAACGCCATGATATGCTATGACCGTAACCCGAACGCTCGACGCCATCCTTAACGTTGCGATTGCTATGCCTCCTCTGGTTTCCAAGTTCACAACTCCAGCCCATATCGTCAAATCGAGCAAACACCTGTTCCAATTCATTTCGTCGTTTGATCCGGCCGCCAGGACCAGGCCAGCTCACATCCAGATCTCTTATCAAGCCTCTGGCATAGGGGCACTGTCCGCTACGGGCTCCAAAGGTTGGAGCTTCGTCTTTCTCCGTGGCGGTGGTGCTTTTGGTGGTATCTTCTTATGTCCATTCAAATGCAACGTCGTCGTCGGTCCGACCGGCACGCCATGTCGGTGTTTTGGTACCTCGGGCAACGGCTTCTTCGGCCGCACAGCGCCTGCCCCGGCCTTTGCCTCACCTTGTTTGGCTTCGGCGTCTGCCTCGGCCTTGCGACTCGGGGTGATGACACCCGGTTTCTCCATGACGGCGGCGACGTCGACAACACTAACGCTGCTCGCCGTGTCCGAACGTGTGAGACTGATCCCCAGGAACTTCCGAGCCACCTCTGCCTCGCCAGAAGCCTCCTGGTCGACAAGCCATTTCACTTTCGAGACTCGGTCGACCAGACGCACCGTCGTTTCGTCCGCAGGGGCAAAGTGAGAATTTCCATAACCACCCAGAATCCTCAAGACCTTGAGTACCTCATCACGCTTGTAGTGCGGCGGGTGGCTCAGTTGCGTGTGCGCCAGGAGTGGGTACAGGACTCGGAGGTATGTGTGGCGAAGCGATATCTTTTCGTCAGGCAAATCCATCAGGTTCCTAATGATAACGTCAAGGAGAACCTTGAGGTCATTGGTGTAGAAATATTCATATGTGGCTTTGGTTGTAAATAATAGATAAAGGAGTTTCAGGATCAAGAGTTGCAGGGACGTCTCCGTCTCACGATTCAAAAGTAAAATGATGTTCTCTCCGAATGTGCGGAACGAATCGCCGTGGAGACTAAGGCACTTGATCACCCTATTCGTGAGAGGGGCTGTGGGCGAGTTCGGATCTGAGGCGACGTCGGTGGATGCGAGCATGTATTGTTCGTTGAGAACCAACTGTTTTCATATTCGTCAGCGCCAGTAACGAGCAGGAGAGAACACGGCGAGGAGAGTTATACCAGCACTCGGATAATTGGATAGTGATATGGGTCGTGAACGTCGTTGGATAACTCCTCGATGATCTGGAAGAGGTATGCAATGAAGCCATCGTCAACCTGGAGCAAGTCGGCGGTGCGCAACCTTTCGACCCGGGACATTTCGTACATCAGCTCCAGAAGCAAGCGATGCAGCCTCAGATCCTGGTCTTTACGTCCGTTAATCAGCTCGAGGAGGCGAGGGAAGCACGCCTCCTCGATCATACGAGAGTATAAGGCCTCATCGGCATGGCCGTCGAGCAAAAGGAATAGTACAATGGCGTGCAGCGACGGGGGTTCATCCTCCTGCAAAAGGCTGTAGACGATCTGGTTGCGAATGTAGTCCTTGTTGTCTTGAAACAGCTTGCATTGCAGTAGCTTCTCGCAGCAGGTGGCGACATCGTTTTCGTTCTCGGGGAACTTGTCTCTGAACCTCGAAGTAAGATAGAGCCACGATCGCAGGGTTTCGTCGATTAAGTCGTGGGACTGGTATTGGGTAGTGACGACGTCGTCGAGCTCTGCAGTTGACGACGAGACTCTGGTCAGCGACAAATCTTACGATGCGCACAGTGTGCGACGTAGGAAAGGTAAGGTCTGGGAGGAGACGAAGTAGACAACATCATGAACAGTAAGGCGGGGGAGGATGGAAGAAGCAACGAGGGGTTGGATTTGGGGGCGAATTTGGCTGACCTTCCCAAAATTGGTGCTTGGTCTCGAGAGACTCGTATAGATCGAAGTCGGCCATGATGCTAGAACCACCGCTGATACGTGAGTGGAATGGTCTGCATCACCGGCGCAGTGCAAACAGCGACTGCTAAAATATGGGAAGAGGAGTAGAAGAAGAAGAGAAGCGTTGGATACTCGGTGGGATGAAGATGAGGCCGGCTGGAGTTTCGACTCTTTGGGATTTGATACACCACATGGCTTGACAACAAGGTCCCCCTCTTCAGGTACCTAGTCAGGCCAGGGCAGCCTGGGGCCAGGCCCGAGCTGGATGAGGTAAGGACGGACGGTCCACCCTTAAAGCACTGTACAGGCCCACTGAGCGGCAGCGGCAGCGACAACACACTGAGTCTTGGACGGGAGTTGGTTGGCGGCTGCCATGCAGTGAGGGGAACTTTTTTTTCTATTTCTTTTGGAGTGAAGGTGGGGGAAATGTGAAGCGGAGGGGTGGGGATGGAGATGGAGGGGCTGGGGATACCGATCTTCCGCTGTAGTCGCTGCTCTGGTGACAGCGCAAACGTGCACCTGATCCCATGCCGCCCTCAAGTTCTTGCATGCCCCTCCTTGCTTGTTGTCTCTTCATGGCGACTCGTGCCTACCATAGAGAAACATTTGCGACCTTTCCGAGTCTGCACAATAAGGCCTGTTACAGGGTCACTTGTCAAAGCCTCAGAGGTTCATCATGTAAAAATATGCTGCGAGCTCTATGTGTAGCGTGTATCTCGTTCAATAATTACCTATTAAGACACAAAGACTAAAGGCATGGAAACACAGAAATTCGTCGAATAAGAGGGTATTGTATCCGTGTCGTAACCATTCCCAAATGCTCCAAATACTCTTAGTACCCTTGCGCCAAATAACGCCTCTAATCGGACCGCTCATGAACTGTTGCCGACCAATTTTTCCAAAGTCTCCTCCCAGGTATCCTGCTCCTCATCGGGTCTTTGGCCGTCGTCATACACCTTGACCTTGTCGGCGTACTCCTTAATGTTGCTAACAACATAGTCGGTAATCGTATTTCCCTTGCCCGCCGCGATCCTCAAGATGAGCTCGTTCAGATGTTGCCGCCCGAGAATATCCACGTGGTCTGCCGTCTTGGGTCCTCCACGGGGATTGAATCGCTCGGGTTCGTGCTCCATCTCGACAACCGTCACCTTGACACCGGCTGGGTTGTACCTCTTGTAGTTCCACCCGCGGTTACACATGTATCCCGTGCTGAGAAGATTTACTGTTCCGTCGCCCTCTCCCATGACGACACCATGATCCACCTCTCCCTGCGTGAGGGTTGTGTCGATTGTGATGTTCAGGTTCGTGAGAGCCGGTGCGTCTGGTGACCGATAGTAGTAGCCTCGCTCCGTTGCCTTGCCTACACCGTAGAAGCAGTAGATCTTGAGGCTCGGTGCCAGAGGCAGACGTGTCTCCAGGGGGTTGATCCATTTGTTTGGGTCTTTTTCGTTGGCGTCGACCTCGGCTTGAGTGTGTGCTACACCATGGGAATAGGCACCCTTCACATTCCTCGAGTACCACTCCTCTGTAGTGTTGAAGAGATAGTTCATGGCTGACTCGACCGTCAGATTCCGTTCCGGAGTTGTCCAATTCATGCCGCTACGGAAATTGAGGAGAGAACCGTAAGACAGCTCCTGATCCGGCTTGTCATCAGGTGCCCATGTCGAATTGCCCCAAACAGCATCTCCTCCAATGGGAAGCATGGAAGAAATGCCAGGCATTGCTCGGAAGAGCTGGGCTCTTTCGTCTTTGCTCAAAAACTTCTCGAGGCCGTACACGGCAAAGGCGTTCAGCTGAGCTGTGTCTCTCATCTCACCTGACAAGACAGCTGTCAAGTCCTTGACAGCACCAAGCATGCAGCCACTCACGTTGATCCAAGCTTCGACGTGCTGTTCGACCCAATCATCGCCACCTCGTCCACCACTCTCGGATGCGACCCAGTGGAAGAAGTAGAAAAGGACTTGCCCTCCCATGCTGTGGGACACGAGAACGGCCTTCTTGCCCGAAAACGCATGCGCAGTTTCAATGTAAGATTTGAGCCTCGAAAAGTACTGATCGCGTGTTTCGAGGTTGGGGTACGCCAAACGCCAGTCGTACGCGGCAGTGAAGGAATTAGTCGGGTCGTAGCCTATTGATGCCAGATTCTCGAAAATCTTGTTCCAGATCCAGTAACCGGTGATAAAGAAGTCGGTTGCGTCGAAGCCTTGAGCAGCTCGTAACTTGATATGAGGGGGGTCGAGGCCGGTCTCCTGATCCAGCATGATATGTTTCTTCCAGTTTTCCTTGTCGAGGACCAGCGCACGCATCATGCTCCAACTACCCCAGAGGCGCTTTCGGAAATACTGGCGGGAAACGTTGGCCGTGCCCCACGATTCGAGGCCTGTTGAGATGACGCCAGGGACCATGATCATGGGGTGATGGGCATGAAGACCCTCGGCGCGGGCTTGCAAACCTACGGAGAAGGCATCGTAGCTATCGACGAATTCTCGCTCGCCTTGCTTTACAGCCAGCCATGTTAGTTCTAGCCAACTAGATGACGCTCGCTCGCTAAGGACGACACCTGAATTGTTACTGACCACAAGCTCCCGCATGTCCTTAACCAAGCCAGCTGGCAGAACATCGAAGAAGCTGTCCATGCTAAGCTCTCCAAGCTCGGGGAAATCTATGAGGTCGTTGCTTTTCGCGAAAAAGCCCGCGGCTATAATTCCAAATAAACTTCCAAGTAAGAAGATGGCGCCATTCCGGCGTTTCCGTGTCTTGGGTTTTACATGGTGAACAACGTGAGCTACAGTCTCGGGTTTCTCGGGGCTTTCGTCTCGAGGGGTCGAAATTTCACTATCGATGTTGCTGTCGGTGGGGATGGCTCGGCGCCTAATAGTCGAAGAAGACATGGTCGCTGACGCAAAGGGCCGCTACCACGGGGGAAATGTTAGCAGAACGGAGTGAGCCCTTGAAGTCGATATTGTAACAACCCAAAGAGGCCAGGCTATTCCGTGGAAGTAAGGACCAGGCGGCGCATACCTGAGCTTGGGATAAAGTGGAAGCGAGGACGGTGTCAACTGCGCCGTCCTCCTTGGGCGTGGCCTGGTACTTATTGAAAGGCACGTGGGCGAGTGGGCGATGGGACGGTGTGAGCTAAGCGGCGAGCAAGGGGGGGCGACTACCTATGGCAGATCCAAAGCTAGGCAAAGCTTGTTTCGTGATTTGTTGGACAGACAGAGAGGGACAAATGTTGACAAGCAGTCCCGAGGCATGCGGGATTCAGGTGTGCTTGGCCGGGCAATGTTGAGAGCCAAGGAGTCCGGAGCTCGGGGGGTGGGTTGTTGGAGGCGGCCGAGGAACGAGCAAAAAAAGATGCATGAGCTGCTTGACTTCTCCGTGCGGCCCGACGTGACGTCAATCTCCGAGGGGGGCAGCATCTTTTTCCAGCATGCTCTCCGCCAGAAGAGGTACTTGAAGATAGTGCATATCTTGGTATGGTTGTTATGTATCTGGCCTTGTGGTGAGTGCGCCCGGCAGATGCACAGGCACCATGCCGCAATGGAATGCAGGGGGGGTCCCACTGAATGAGGGCACCGGTCCCGTCGTAAATCCTTACGCAGTAGGTAACTGGTAACTTGGCACCAAGTAATACCTCAAGTGCTGCAATATGAATTTTTTTTTTTGGTTATGTCCCGACGATGCTTATCGCGTAGAAATGTTCCGGAAGCGGTCAAGTCGTTTCCTCTCTCTTTTGGTCTAACTAATTGAATAGAGGTAATGGGCTCTAAAGCAGACCCTGACAAGCAGCCCAAGGGGGCCGACTTGCATGTGATGGGCCTTGGATGAACCCCATTGCATGAACGCAAGCAAGAATTTAAACTTGGCAGATTTGACGGGCAGTAATCTCGCCTTGAGTAGGACATGAAGTGAATGCTACCTACCAACTTTGTTACGGTCTTCTCTCAATTACCTGGAATATCCAAGTTTGACAACCCTCACAATACCACCCAGCACACGCTGGCAAGCGTGAGGCGCTGCCATCTCTGGCTTCACCCTAATGCACCTCACTTTACCATGTGCTTACCTCACCTGGCAGAAACCTCACCTCTCCGCAAAGTCGAGTTTCCAAAACTCAAGTAGGTCTGAATCAGACGAGTTTTCTTGGGTGTCTGCTTAAACCATTCTAGGTATCCAATGAGATGACTGTCGAGGTAGCACGAGGGCGGCCGTTTGACATGTGATAGTGAAGGAAATTCACGGCGTTTGGCTGGAGAAGGAATCTCACTGCCCTGAGGGCAACAGGCCGCCCGTCGGTAGACCCCACTAAATGGCCTGCCCGCAAAACTGCCTTGACCTCCGAATCCGACAGGGACGATGGGCGTAGATGGTGGGCCCCCGGGCGGGGCCTACCGTACTGCAGCTGGTAGGACACTGAACACCGCACGGTCTGAGCGGAGCTGACTGACCTGAAGCACCGCAGCCAGAACAACTCGACTCAGTTTTAGGTATCGAATGCAGCGTCCCCCGACTCCGACTCCAACTACGCCCATCAACTTGCACCTGCAAACGCACATCTCACGATCCTGGTTCGGCCGGTTTGCACTCGCCCTTGTCTCATAACCCCCAGCCGCGGCAGAGCCGCGCCTCTTCATCTTTTGCATTCTCGTCTTGCCTTCCTCTACAGCAAACCACGCGTCACATTGGCGACACCCGGCTATTTGCCCGCACTTTCTCTCATTCGCCTCGTCTGAGATCTCAAGACTTCACTTCTTGCTTCTTCCTTGCGCGCTATACAGATTGTCATGCCTTGAGACCATTTCAGGTGCCGATATAGGCTTGTGCGCAACCTCTCACCACGAATTTTATAGCTTTGATTTCATATATCTTGCCTACGAAGTCCGACCTCAAACAAATATACCCCGCGAGACAGCAACATGGACGTTTCCAAGGTCACCCACCTCCCCGCGGATCTGCAGTACATCCAGTACGAGCACGGCCTCGAAGCGAAATACCTTCCAGCTATACGCTCTCTGATCGCAAAGGACTTGAGTGAGCCATACAGCATCTATGTCTACCGGTATTTTCTATACCAGTGGGGCCATTTGTGCTTCATGGTACGTTACCTTTCTCTCTATTCCCTCTTGTGTATGTGCCATCGCCGTTGCTTACTTTACCACAGACTTTGAATCCCGCCGACGGGTCTCTCATTGGTGTCATCATCTGCAAGCTGGAAGTGCACTCGTCTCACTCGCCGCCAACGCGCCGGGGCTACATCGCTATGCTCGCCGTGGCCTCGCCATATCGCGGTAAAGGCATTGCGACGGCACTCGTGAAGAGGGCTATAGATGCCATGGCCCAACGGAACGCGGATGAGGTGGTCTTGGAGACGGAGGAAACCAACACACAAGCCATGCGTCTGTACGAGCGTCTTGGGTTCTTGCGTTCCAAGAAGCTACACAGGTATTATCTCAACGGCAACAGCGCCTACAGGCTGGTACTGCTGCTCAAACCTATCGACCCGGATGCCGCGTTTGATGATTCGGATGGCCAGTCTCCCTGACTAGGGGAGTATGGGGAAGATCTGCTTCTCAAGTCAAAAAGAATGCTTGATAACACGTGCGGCGTTATTTGACAACAACCGCACCGAAAGGTTAGATTAGGGTTACATGAGAGCTGGCAGAGTATCGTCGTTGCTTTAGAACGGGATATTGCGTGGGTAGAAACGCTAGCATCACTAGGGGCATGGGTACCGGACTTGGTGGTTTATTGCGTCGTCGATTCTGATAGATGGTTGAGCGTTGTACAAGGGGACAGAGGCATTTTTTTTGGCAGGGCGCATGTCGCGATTCGTATCGACACATATGGCATAGGCTCGTGGCAGTACTCTACATGTACGGCTTATGAGAGGTACATAGCAATCTTCATGTACATTAGAGGAGCAAAGATGAGCTGCAGTCCGTCCTCTTAGCCTTGCTGACCGCCGTCGACTCTTTCCGCTCGTTTCTTCGAACCGATTGACCTAGCTTTTCTTTCTCACTCCCAACAGTATGCAGCCCCTGAGAGGAGTACTGGTCTTTCCGGCCATCGTAAGCCTACACCTGCAAAGCGCCGCGTCATCAAGTGGATCGTATTTGAGCTCCTCTCGGGAAGTGGAAGACCACAAGGCGGATGATTGTCTAGGATAGCACATCCCTAGAACTGTAAATCGATGCCTTCAAGCCCCAGTGATTGCCGGAAGCGATACCGAGATACGTAAATGCATCTTGGGCATGTCAGACCGAAAACTTCCTCCGTAATAGGAGGCTTCTACGAACCTGGTTTATAGTAGATAGGGCGTCCCATGGCCTCAACGAGCTTGAGCTCTCTCAGCCGACGCAAGACCCGGGTCACATCTGCCATATCGCTGAAGTCGGCCGTATAAACGCATACAATCCGGTCTTTTCGACCGGTAGGGTCGGTATACGGATTCCAAGGGGCAACTTTTGCGGCAATGCCTAATTCGTTGTTCGCTGTGGCGCTTGCTATGACGTTCCAGACTTCGTTAACATCCTTGGGCTGACAGAAGAGCATCCACTGTTCGACGAGAATGAGCTATCATATTTGGTACGCGCGGGCCTTGTTGAGAGCACTTGCCTTGCCGGCCTTGATCTTGCACATGTGTGCGAGGCCCATGATATCCCGGGTGGCATCTTCTTGTTCTTGCCTCAGCAACTTTGCCTGTACTGCCTTGGATTTGTTGGTCTTTTCGAGGCCTTGCTTGTAGTTGAGTAGGATCTCTAATCTCTCCGAGCCCCCCTCGATAAGGGTATCGAGTCGTGAGCCCTCCTCCTCCGGTGCTTCGTCCTCATTGCCTCTGCTCCGCTGGTTCTGGGCATTGAACCTGTCCTTCCTGCGGATGTACGGATTGCATACAAAGATCCACGGGAGCCGCTCGCTGTGCTCCGTCGTCTCGGGAGGCAGACGATCAAGGAAGTCATTGACCGTCTCCGTTAACTGCCACGCGTAGGGAACACCGGCATACGGGTTGTGGAGTTTGGTGCTGTCGAGAGGCTCCTTCTTGACTTTTCTGTCCATCGCCGAGATGGAGGCCGCCGCCGCATTCCTCTCTTCCCACCACTGGGAAACGTCAAATGACGTAACCCGAGACTCTAGGTCGGCGACAATCTCATCGTCCCCTGAGCGCGAATTAGTTCGTCTCGTTCAACATCAATTGAGCTCATAAAGACGCAAACCGTAGAAGTCAGATTCGTCAGAATCCATGTTACCCAATGCAAACTCTAGGAAACACAAGAACCAATGCTCAAAGATTACGAACAAGAATGAAAGTGCTTTGTCTAGTTGTGAGGAAAGTGCGGTGAACGTTTGCTGTTTCGGAGCAGAAAAAGAAAGCACCACCCCAGTAAAGAATAATGACCATCGACTGTTGTAAAACAAGTACCTTAGTATCGACAAGGTGAGGGCAACGTCATCCTCTTATATGTATGTGCGGGCGGGGGACAACGTGTTGATAAAGTTTAAATCTATTGAAATGAAGGAACAAGGGGATGCTACAGACACCCCGTTGTTTTTGGAAAGGATTGCAACTTCCGAACCGATTAGCGGCTGTCAATCCCGGGGTCGGGGGTTGCGGGATCCTTCCGCCTGCGCCGGGGCCGATAACCCTCCCGGAACTCTTTGGCGAGTGCAGAATCTAAGCACCGCACGTCAAATCTCAAATTCGACTTCCCCCACACGTCTTCCCCGGACTCCAAACTACCTGGGCATTCCATCATCGAAAACCCGAGACGAGACAGCATAGGTCGGTGAGACACCCCGCATTTAGCAATACCTTTCGTTAAACACTCGAAAGCTGGGGATTGGAAGTTTTTCTTTTCCAGCCCAAAAGAGAAGACAACCCTCACACAAACCA